TTTGCCTCAGCTGCTACCATTGACTGCCACTGCTTCCTCGAGGCTCAGGGGCCAGAAAGGTCTGCCCATACTTCTAGGTTATTCTGTACCTTATGCCCATGACTAAGATGGGTGTGTTTTTCTCCAAAACATAAAAACCAAAACCCAAAACATAAAATCCGACTCAGCTGCTGCCTGCTGCCCAGCAAATGCGGGTAAAATGAGATGACCAGGGACGACTCTGAGCCACTCTATTAATCTTGACCAGGTTGGCGTGTGGGTGGTAGACCATTCAAGCCCCGTAGCCAGCAGAACAGTTTACTGGTCACCCTGCAATTTCAGCTGCCAGGGTCCAAGCCCTCCACAAGCCATGCCAGGGTTATATGTGCAGTCTTGCTTAATCCCCACAACCACTGCATGAGGTAAGGCCATTATTCCCATTTTACAGGGGAGGAAACTGAGGCACAGAGAGGTATACTCTACCCCGGTAAGTGACAGACCCGGGATTTCACCTAGGTAGATGGGTCCCAAGTCAGCCTGGGCAGTGGTGCATGGGGAGATGGGAAGAGAGAAGAGGGGAAGCAGCTGGAGGACTAGTTCCTGAGGAGCGAAGGGAAACAGCAGAGAGATCAACGGCCTTTGCCGGGAGGACAAACCAGAACAGGATTTTCCTGCTAAACTGTAGTCAGTAGTCTGAATGACAGGGGGAGATCTAAGCCTTACTGTAGGCTTCTGGGACCATCCACAGATGGTACTCATTTGTAGAGCAAAAGAGAGGCCTGGTTAAGTGGCACAGTCCCGGGTGTGAGTAATAGCTTCACCACCGACTAGTTGTGGCTCGACAAAGGGCTTCAGTTTCTGAAGCTCCCTTCATCTGTAAACAAGGATAACAGGAGCTCCTTCCAAGGCCCGTCGCCGGGGGAAGGAAGATAAAGCTGGCGAGGGGCACGGTGCCAGGCACCCAGGAGGCCGCAGCCAGGGAGAACCACGCCCACGGGTCCGCTCCTTCCCGGTCCCAGGGCGCGAGGCTGGGGGACACTCACCGGGGCTACGAGCGAGGCAATACCGCAGGCCAGGCCGGTTAGGAGGCGGCCCCCGAGCAGCATCCACACGTTCTGGGCCGCGGTGATGACTGCAAAGCCGACCACGAAGGGCACGGTGCAGAGCAGCAGGCTCAGCTTGCGCCCGGCGCGGTCCACGAGCCAGCCGCCCAGCACGCCCCCCGCCGCGGCTCCCAGGGTCACGATGGCCTGGGGGCGGAGCGACCGCAGGTTGGAGCGGGGGCGCCGCACGGCCGCCGCCCAGCCTCGCCCTCAACCCCAGCCCCGGCAGCCTCCGAGAAGAGGGGATGGGGGTCCCGGGCTGGCGGTCGGGGGGGAGGGTGACCCCCGCAGGAGAGCCGGGATGCACCCGGCCGAGGGTCTTAGTGCCCGCCCGAAGCCAGGTAAGCGCGGGGGGCCCCCCCTCGCGCGTGCGGTGGAGTAGGAGGGGCCCCGGCGGGCTGGAGGGTGAGCCCGAGGCCTCACCCCGAACCAGGAGGCGGCGGCGTCATCGAGGCGCAGGGCTGGGGACGCGGCGCGGCGCAGGCTCGGGATGGCCGGGGAGCTGTAGCCGAGCGCGAAGCCGAAGCTGAGCGGGCCCAGGGCGGCGGCGAAGGCGGCGAGGAAGACCCGGCGGCTGAGGGGAGCGCTGCGGGGACAGGGCAGCGGGTGAGCGGCGCCGGCCTGGGCGCAGCAGGAGGGGCGAGGCCGCGTCCCGGGCCCGGGTCCCCCCACCCGCTCACCTGCCGCCGGGCGGCCCCAGGAGCGGCTGTGTCTCCTCCTGGTCCTCCGGCGTCATGTCCGCAGCCAACGCCTGCTTGGTCAGCTCTGTTGCCTGAACTGCCACGGATCCCGCGAGTGCAGCCGGCACCCGCCTCTCACGGCAGAGCCGGCCAATAGGCGGGGAGGGGCGGCTCTGGGGCGGGATGGGAACGGCCAGTGGGAGCGCCAGGCGGGGTTAGCCTTGCGCTAGGAGCCACCCCCCAAATCAGAGCCGACCAATGGGAGCAAAGAGCCGGTTGGCGAAGCTCACTGGATCCGCCCCCAGAGCCTGGCGAGCCAATGTTTAGGTGGGGCGGAGTTTGTATGTGGGCCTGGAGAAGAACCACCCAATAGGAGTGTGGTGCGTACCCAGAGGCGGAATCAGAAAGCTGCCTCAGGCGGAGCCAGCCAATGAGGGTGGGAGGCGGGGATGGCATCTGCTCCTGGAGCCGCCTCTCAGTCAAGCTTCAACCAATGAGGCTACCAGCAGGACGAACGTGGAGCAGGTTGCGCCGCGCACAGAACTTCTCGCCCCGACTCTGGGCAGTAGCGTCTGTCCTGCCTGGTCGGCTCTGCGGTTCCTGCTCTGCGTTAACCGGTGCCCTGCGGCCGGGGTTCAACGCGCCTGGCCCAGCTCAGCTCACTGACAGCCGCAGGGAGGAATGTCTCCAAGCGACTGTCCTGGGCCGCTCTCTTTCCTCGCGGAACCTGGGCTGCCGGGGGCGGAGGCATGGCCCTGCGCGCCGCAGCCCATCTCGGTGCGGGTCATAACTCGGAGCCCGCAGATTGCTGACGGCTACGAGCCGACAACCACCAGGACCTCGAGGTGCTGAGGACCTGTGTTGGGCAGGGCCCTCATATGTGTGACTGATCGCGGCTTAAATGGTGAGCCCTAGGCTCCCTGTTAAGTTCCACTCACTTCATAGGTCATCTTGACTCTTGAATCTTCATCTTAATAAACCTGCCGTCTTTGAGTCTCCTGCGGCTATTAATAGCCAGCTTCTTCACTCGAGCACCCAAGTGACTGCTGGAGGTAGGATGATGTCAGGGCTCTGAAGGATCTTGCCATCTGTACCCAACCCTTCTCTGGATGAGGCAGCTCAGGTGGAGTGCTGTGTAATTCTTGAAAGTACCAGGGCTATGAGAGTAAGAGGTTTGGCTTTTAATCCCTCTCTGGGCCTCTGTGTCCTCATCTCTAAGTACGGATGATATCTACCTTCTGGGAGGGTTTTAAGCAGAGGCAGTGTACACGAAAGATCAAGCACATGTGAAGCACTCAAATGCTAGCCCATATGATTGTGAAAGTTGTTTGACCTAGTGCAGGCTCCTGATTGTACTATCTTTAAAGACAGGCCACCACCCCTCTATGCTTCCACAGCATCTTGTGCTCGAGTTATAAATTCTTATCTGAGCACTTATCACTGCCGTGTGATCACTTGTTTACTTCCCTCTCTCCCTTAATGGATGTGACCTCTTCCTCCACACAGTGGGCCCTTGGTGTTTGCAGAGTGGACGAATGCCTCCAACTCCATTGGCAAACTGCTGCATTTACACAGTGCAGTAACTCAGCTAGGGGGGTAGGCAGAAGGGCTTATGTGGACAGGATGCTCCAGGGAGCCCAGCTAGCACCAGCCCTCTGAGCCACAGGCCCCTACAAACCCGCTCCTGCCTTCTGGCTGGTGGTCTCCCTTCCCAAGGGTGCGGCATTCACTTCTTGGCCTTTGTAAGCAGATATTGCTGCCAGAGCTGCCTCCTATCCCCCTTTTATAAGCTAATCACCATCTATCTGATTAGTAGGGTCCATTTCTTGCCCTTTCTACATTCACTCCTCAGATTTGTGACTCTTGTCAAATCATGGGGCAGTTCTGATGCTTCCAATCTCTTTGGAAGAATGTTCTAAATCACCCTTGGTTTTTTTTATTCCAGGCTGAGAAGCAAGAAACTCCAGAGAAAAAAAAAAAAAAAGATGACAGAAAGAACACACAGACAAACTCATAAAGCTTACAAATTAGTTTAACATGAAAAACACCAGTCAGATCCAACTGACACAAGGCACTCAGCCTGACTCTGTATGGTGGACAGGGGAGAGAACAGGGCTCTGGGGTCAGAGAACTCAGAGTTTCAAATCGCTGTCCCTTTCTGAGCCTCGGTTTACTTATCTGAAAAGCAATAATAATAAAATCTAACTCCCAAAACTTTTCACGAGGTTGAGATAGAGCATGCGGTGGATCTTGTGTTTCCCCCAAATACGAAAGGGGCAGAAAGAAACACAGAGGAGGAACGGCAATGCTGAGTACAGCTAGGGCATACCTGGCTATGCCTAGAAAGCACCGTATGCATTACTCTCGCCCTCCTGCCATCTGCTGAAGGGAACCAGGCAGCCTTCACTGGATCCAGCACGTTGGGCTGTTTCTTGCACAAACACCACGCAGGCAGTTGTGCAACAGGCAGACAAGGGAGCTCTCCCCACAGTGTGCAAGGCCCACGAGGAGGTAGGACCCAAACTTCTGTAAAATCTGTCCGATCAAGGTCATGTCAAACACAGCTCTCTGCACTCCCAGAGAAGGCGTGCAGAAGAACCCTCAGGGATGCTTTCACGGGGGAAATGATTTAAAGTTTCTTTTGGTGGGTAATTTAGGCGAAGAGAGCTAATAAAATGGAATCCGTTAGACTAAAGCCAAAGGTAAATTACCTTCTTCACACAGATTAAAATTTTTACAGTGTCAGTGAAACTAGGTTTCCCCCTTGGATCTCCCGTGGCCAGAGGCTGACATTTCACGGGTTCATTTGCACTTGGTCAAGCCCACATTTTCTTCTCACTTTGAGGAGGGGGCAACAGAAGGCAAGTGATGACAAGAGAAGGACAATCACTTGGTTCACGTGGAAGAGCAAAGCAGACCTGAACATGAGAAGGGAATTTGAGGATGATGATTTTGGTGGCAAGGAGTGACTATTGCCTGACTATATGATTTCAGAGTAACTACAAAACCAAACAAAATAATCTTAAGGCTCTTAACAGGCTTTGTGAGACACAAGGAGGGAGCAGGAGCTTCTAAGAACTAACCATTCAGCTTTTCTCAAAAGTCTATAGGCAGGGACACAGCTGGTTCTAAACTCAGTGAACTGAAACAGCAACAGGGGCCAAATGTGCAGAAAGAAAACTTATTTATAATAAATTTAAAAAGCAATGGCTTTTCTTTATAAAAGAAACACAATATGTGACATAAATCAAAACTGTAATGAAAAAATAATTTTTCCATCAAAGTATATAAAATACAAGAGAAGGTTGCAGTAAATAAGAATGAACATTTTTGATTTATTCAAAGTTTCAATCTAAAACCTCAATGAAATCTACTACCTTTATTACAAGGGGACTGATGGTTCCTGAACAGAAAGAAACAAAGGTCAAGAAAGATGGCACCGGACATTGGAGAGACCCAAACCGGCCAGGTATGCAGAAGGTTTGGTCCAGTAGATCACGGGCGGGCTAAAAGCCACATTTTGTTGAGAAATGCTGTCAGAACTGGTTAAAGAGTATAAACCTCCATAAGAAAATTAAAGATGGCAAACTCGATCCGGACCCTGTTTACTTCAGGTCAATAATGTCTTCATCCGAGGAAGCTGTGAGCTGAAAGGGGCTACTGCCCCACACGGGGCTGCCTTCTCTGTCCGCCACAGGGTCCTGGTCAGAGCCCGTCGAGTGGTAGCGCCCCTCGGGGTTGGCTTCTGGAGCAGAAGGACTTTCCAAGGAGCCCGTGGTGATCCTAGAAGAGAAAAGTCACGTAAGGGATCCCTGGAGAGCACTAGTGACCGGGGCCCCTTCTGTCAGGCAGTTTCCTGCTCATCTGAGCTCATAAAGCCTGTATCCCCTCACCCCCCACCCATTAGTGGGGAAAGGTGGGGACATGTAGGAGTCAGCCCCACAGAGCATGGAGTCTGCAGTCAGCCAGCCCTACCTCATGGGCTGTTGGGAGTTTTAAAGGCCAAAGGTGACACATAGGAGGTGTTTGAGGTATTTTTTACCTTTCTAAAGGGCAAATCGGGATAATGTCACTCTCTGCCTAAAACCCTCCTGGGTTGGGGCTCCCTGTGGCCTGAGGATAAGGCTGAAACTCCTACCCACAGGACCACAGACCACAGGATCTGGCCCTGGGGACCCTTCTGCCTCCTCCCAGCCCAACCTACCCCCTTGATTTTTCTCTTGTACTCAGGACACTCTCTTGATAGCTGCAAAACCAATTCGACCAAGTTCAGGGGGTTCATTCATTCAACAAGTACTCATTTGGCCTGTGAAAGCCCCCGGCCCAGCCTTTGGACGCTCAACAGGCCATGCCTTTCAGAGCCTTTGCCCCTGCGGTTCCCCTTGTTCCTTCTAATTCAATCAAAGCTTGGCTCAATGCCACTTCCTCAGAGAAGCCCTCTTGACACTCCCTTCCCAAAGTAGAACTTCTACCCACGCCCCCCCCAACTCTTACCTTTTTAAAAATTTCCTTACAGCACTTGTCACTATTGGAAACGATTTAATTTGCTTAATTGTTTACAGGTGTATGGTCTGGGTCTCCACACTAGAATGTAAAGTCCACAAAGGCAGGACTTGCCACACAGAAGGGGCTCGGTTTGTGGGATTAAAGCATCTGTGAGTGCTGCCCCCTCTCGGCCAGGCTAATGCTTACTGGGTCTGTGGACCTGGCTCAGCCTTTCCTGGTGTTTGAGACCCTCCCTGCTCCAGGTGGGGGTGGCTGGCACTGCTCATTCCTGTGCATCACCTGCCACCCCGGAATGCTGCAATTCCTAGAGTGTTTTGTTGGCCTTCCCCCCTGGCCTGTGGACCCCCTGAGAGTGATCTTCATATCCCCAACATCCAGCTCAGTGCCGGGTGCCCTAAGAATGTGTGTTGAGTGAATTAATGGAGCCTGGACATGCGCCACCTTACCCTCCATACAGGAGCTTGAGGGACATGGAGGCTCTTAGGGGACACATCAGTGGGACTTCACAAACGTTCACTGACATGGGATACTGAACTGCCATCCAAAAAGGCTGTACCTGCTCTCTTCCCACCAGAAGCATTGGAGAGGGCCTATTATCTGTCGCTCCTACTGAGCATTTTCATTTAAAAATATCTCTGTCGGGGCGCCTGGGTGGTATAGTCAGTTGCGGATCTGACTCTTGGTTTCCGCTGAGGTCGTGATCTTGGGGTTGTGAGATCCAGCCCCACGTTGGGCTCCATTCTTAGCATGGAGTCTGCTTGAGATTCTCTGTCCCTCTCCCTCTGCCCCTCCCACTCATGCTTGCTCTCTCTCTCTCTCAAATTAATAAATCTTTAAAAAAAATCTCTCTCAATCTGGTGAGGGAAAAAAAGGAAAGAAAGAAAGAAAAAGAAAGAAAAAAAAATCCCTTTATGTATTTTTATGAGCATTTGCTGAATCGTAAGTGAGGTTGCCCCCTTGTGCCTGAGCCCCTCCCTGGGCCAGCCTAGGGGTCCTCAGAGAGGAGCTGGATGCTGACTGTCTGCCCGTGGCACCGTCAGTCAGCAGAAAGGGCCTCATGGCAGTGCTGTGACCCAAAGGGCCACCACCCTGAGCAGGGACAGCTGGGGATGGCCTATACCTGTCACTGCTAGTTGATCTTGCTGTCCCTGGCTTCGGGCCTCCTTGGCTTTCTTCTAATTGCTTCCGGGCTTTTGATTTGGGCTTTGGTGCTCCTTCTGACCTGGGTCCAACTTCATCAGAGAGGCCTAGATTATAGGGGAGAAGCACAGGTCAGAGGGTTATTACCACTGGGCTGCCATGGGGATAGAAAATGTCCTTTTTTTTTCTTGGTTGGCTATTGGTGCATTATTGGGATAGAGTCAGGAAGCGTTGATAAATTATATATTTTAAAGTAACTGGTTTTCTTGTTGGTGGAGGGTTTTTTTTCTGATCCTAAAGAATATATATATATAGGAAGGAAGGGAGGGAGGGAGGGAGGAAGGAAACTCAGAAGGGTCTAGAGGAGGAGAGAAAAATCCATGATCCTACCACTGGAGACTATAATTCTCCAACTCTGAGGCTCAATTTCAGAAAAGCACAGTGGTCTGTAACACAGCGGCTGGCAGATCAAGCTTTCACAGGGCACAGTGGGTTAAAATAGCAACACGCATACTCTGAAAGCACAGTGGAAGGCACCAACTTCTAAGACCGACCGACTTTGCCAGAGTCAAAGCCTGCCCGGTCAGGCGGCCTGCATCCCCGCCCCAGTTGTCAGGAACAGGACTGCAGGCCAGGGATGCCCTAAGGTGAACTGTCCTTGCAGTTTTAGGCCATGCAGGTCCCAATTAGGTTTCAAACCACTTCTTACTGGTTTAGCACATCACGTCCTTTTTCTCCACTTTGTTTTCACAATTCGGAACAAAAGTCTTTCTAGCAGTCTCGCCTCTGCACGACTATCACAGTACTTCGTGCTTTTCTGGTCTGGTCTCCCATCAGTGTTACCGAGAGAGAAGGATCTACCAAATATCTCACGTCTGTGCCATCCGTACAGACCTGCCCCCAGGGTCTCTGGGCTTCGGGAAGCCATAACTGAACTGCACCACGAATATCAAAAACAGGGTGAATTTAAAATTTCAATTTTAGTATATGTGCTGCCGAAGCGAGCGCAGGGTGAATTTAAAATTTCAAGTACACAAATATATTATCTGAGAACTGGAGGTTGAAAATCCTTCTAGATACTTTCTAGGAAATCCTACATATAGAGATACTTATATTTTAAGAAATTGTGTCAGACTAGATCTACTGTTTTGTAAACTGCCTTTTCTGCTTTTAACCTGGTTTGGGCAGCCTTCCACACCAGACTGACAGACACACAGACTGACACATCGTTGTTGGGGGTAAACCGTACACTATTCCTAGGCGTAGCTGCACTATAATGGTTTATAAAGCCCTTGTTAAAGGGAAAGTTTCTTTCTTAAGTCATTGTTTCCGAGGATGATTAACATCCAAGATGAAACCAGCTGGCCTATTTACAAACAGCAAAACCACAAAAACGGCCCGTCATTACCCAGCAGTTCCCTGCGTGTCCTGCTGGCTATTTCTTTAATCTCCATGCGGGACAGGGACAGGGAGTGAGTGACGGGAATGGCAGCGATGCCCAGGCCGATGGCTGTGGGCGGGGTGACAGCTTTGGAGACCAGAGGCGACTTCAGAGGTCGTTCGATGCTTCTGCCCACAAGGTTTCTGAGTGGAATCTTGTACAGATTTTTGGATGGAGTTTCGCCTGAAATATGATTGAGAAAAGAACATGCGAACTTTAAGCAAAGTCTGTACTATTAACAAGGGTGACTTCCGGTTCCTCAACCCAGTGAGCAGGAAGGAAGAACTGAGGCTGCATGCTGACCTCCCAGACCCCATTCGGAGCGACAGAGGGATGGATGGTGCCTGATGGCTTTGGTTTTAAGGGCACTGTTTTCACAGGTATATGGCTAAACATGCACCTGCTACGGCGCCGCGTGCCCAGGAGGGGAGAGCACCCAGGAGGGCAGACAGCGGCAGCACCCTGCCTGCTTGGGGTGCCCTGTGCTTCCAGGGACGGGAGAAGTAACAACCGATGTGGTGAGCAGCCGGGAAAAGCACGGTGCTCAGAGCAAAGTCGTAACCACAGCAAAGGCCTTTGGGATTCGTGAGCAGATCCAGATGGAGTGAAAGCTGGGTGTGCTCCGTAGGTTTTAGGACTCTGTCCTTCTGGCTATAAAAACCTACCAGATCATTAACATCCCTGAAGGAAAGACACCTTTGCTGTGGCAAGTTGGAATCTCTAGCCCTCAACTCCCTTCTCCCCATGGAAACAGTTCTTTTCATAATGGGCTTTTGTAGTTGTTATCACAGGTTTCTTAAGAATGCAACCAATGCATTCAGAATGCATTTGTTTAAATAACTTTAAATAGTGACTTCGTTAGGCAGTAGTCACATGTCGATATGTGAGAATGAACTAGAGAAATCAGAATGGAGGGGCGCCTGGGTGGCTCAGTCCATTAAGCATCTGCCTTCGGCCCAGGTCATGATTCCAGGGTCCTGGGATCGAGCCCCGCATCGGGCTCCCTGCTCAGCAGTGAGTCTGTTTCCCCCTCTCCCTCTGACCCTCTGCCTGCTTGTGCTCTTTCTCTCTCAAATAAATAAATAAAAATCTTAAAAAAAAAATCAGAATGGATTGGAGATCTCTATTAATAAGACAGTAAAAATTGCACTTCACCTTCCCCCATGGAAGAAGGAAACACTGGAGTATCTCGGCCTGGGGGTGTCTGAGGAGAATTATGGGCACTGGCCCCCTTGGAGCTGCCTCCGGATGAGACCTCGTTCACAGCAGTGGTGGCTGTGAAGTATATATCCGACTAGAATGAAAGAGAAAGCATTAGGGAGCTGCGTGGCTTAGAGGCCCTGCACCCATGGCCCTCCCGTCATCACCGCAAAGCCTGCAAGCGATCTCGGCTCGGCCGCTCTGTCCTTGGGGCATGCAGTGCGGTAATGCGCCTGGGCAGCGGGCTTCCAGAGCAAAAGTCCTGCCCGCCACCCCAGACCTTTCCTGGGTATTCAGTTCCCCACACTTCCCCTTATCTGCTTGCTGATTCACAACAGAAAAGAGGCCATTTCCCAACCCAGCGCACACCTGCCTAACAGGAACGTCAGGCACCCGCAGCGTCAGACCTGGAAAGTATCTGGGGTTCAGTCGGGTCCACTTACAGATGGGAACACGGACCATTCATTCACTGGTTCAGCAAACACTCACGCACACCTGCCCTGTGCTGGCTCTGGTGGGAACAGCCGGGGGGTGCTGGAGCCGGCTTGTAACTGACCCACGAGTGCCGATTTTCAGGGATTTTGCAAGTGAAACACAGCCATTATTAAACTTAAATAAATAATATTAAAAACAAAGGTACTGGGCGCCTGGGTGGCTCAGTTGGTTAAGCGACTGCCTTCGGCTCAGGTCATGATCCTGGAGTCCCGGGATCGAGTCCCGCATCGGGCTCCCT